CGGTACCACTTGACCCCCCTTCCCATTTGAAAAAAATTGGGGTATGACACCCCCGCTTAGAGGGTTGAAGATTTTGCAATCATTTTTGGGGCAAAAGTTGTCCTCCTCACAAAAAAAATTGACGTGTTTTTGAATTTTCTGAAAAAAAAAATTACCCTGGCCGTTATGCATTGCGGAAAGTTTTCGATGGGCCACCCTAATGGGTATCTAAATATTAGATAGATATTTTATATCTAAAAAATGACAATAATCAACTTTGTATTATTTATTTACGAAAAATTATATAATATCAAAATAGTACTATTATTGTTTCGTATTCATTAAAAACTACAACACCTAGTAGTTTTGCTTTTATAACTGGTACTGTTCGGTCAATCCCATTTTTTGATATAAAATCCTTTATAGATTTGCCCGAAGGGTAAACTCCATTTATAATAGTGTTTTTAAATGTGTTTTTTAATAGATCTATTTCACTTTGCGACCAACCTAAAAAAATATAGTATAAAAAATTGTTACTGCAGTGTTCAACATAAAAAGCGCTTGAATATTGTTTTTTGAAATACTCCTTTTAAATTTGATTCGATATGTTTATGTTCCCATACATCTAGTTATGGATTTCCACCAAGTATCTAAATCAATTAATTTCTTATAATTTCTTTTTTGATGGATGTTCTAGTTCAGGAAATATATTTTTAAGTTTTTCAAAATTGTAATTATTCATTGGAAATGGAACATAAAATATACATCCTTACCTCGCTTAATATGTTTCCGTTTTTTATGCACCACATCTTCGATAGAGCTGGGAATATTTACATCCAATGATGTGGCTTCATCATCTACTTGATTAGGATCATTAGAATCTAAAAAATAGTTACAAACATTTGGTTGTAATGTCGATGTATTGTACAGGCTCTTCCATTTTCGCTGCCTCGCTAGATATCTTCGTCCTTGCTAAAGGGTTCTCGCTATCTTTACAACATATTGATAGCTAATTGTAATTTTACTTTTTGAATAGTATTGATCAAATTGGTTCAAATTTATTGTTTTGTTAAATTATGTAGTTAATAATACATTTTGTATGATGAATATTATATAAGTGAATAAATTCATTGCACGTTACAGAGTACGTGAAAAAGTAGAGAGTATTTAAGTACAGTGCGAATACTTGTGTAATATTTAAGTAATCATAGCAAAAGTCTGACAATGCCACTGGCTTTTATGTAAAGAACATATAGGGACCTGGTTTTAGCTATTCCGTATGTTGAAGGATAACTATTATTATTAATAATTTCATCCTTTATCTCACAAAATAAGACTATTAGGACAATTTTGATTATGTTATATTATGATTATTTTAATTTTCACAATATAGATATCCGGAAAGAACAGTCAAAATGGGGCAGTCTGTATATTGTCTAACGTAAAAAAATAATTTACCAAAAACTTTATTTGTGTCTAAATCAGTTTTTGCATCACTCGATTGTTGTTTTTTGGACGAATATAAATTATCTGAAATATAAAACGAAAGTATCTATCGTTTCATATGTATTTTGATAAGATGAAACATACCATTATTTTCTTCAGGAAATTCGGTGTTTATTTCTATATCATTAAGAGACTTTCCTTTATATTCGAGTGGTAATTTTCCCTTTTCCATTAGCAATAATAATTTGGAAACTTTGGCGGTTTGATATATATCTATGGGCAATCTAAAAAAACAAATGAAAACATTTTACAAAAAAAGCACTTGTGTATTGATGAAAATAAAGAAGAAAATGATGAAAATGTGAGTAGGTATTTTATGAGAGAGCCTCCTCCTCATTTT